AGGCACTGTGTTAAGTGCATTACATGTTATTCAATTTAATCCCCAAAATAACTTGATGAAGGAGGTACTGTTATTATCCTCATTTTGCTCATAACACCTTAGTTTTGTTCTCAGCATTTGGAAGGCCTGTGGGTAAGTCCCTGGTCATTTCCATGAGTTGCTTGAACACATACATTTGTAATGCAGAGACTTTTGCAAAACAGAGTTGTCTCCTTGAGCCACTTATCTATACAAACTGAAGTTTAAGCCCGTGGGCCTAAGGGGACTCATCCTCTTCAATCTCTTTCTCTCTTCTCCCTAAGGTCTTGAACTTTAACCTCTGAGTCCATTCCCCAGGGTTCTGCTACCTCTTCCTTTTAGCCCTGTCCTTGGCTCTCTGTCCTTTCCCTTCTCTTTGGATTTGGGGGGAAAATAGAGGAGAAAGTAGATGTTGTGATTGTACATGTAGAAGGAGTAGAGGGAGGTACAGCAGCCCTATTTCTTTCAGATTTATGATAATCTGAAAGAGAAACAAATCTTTCTACTTGTAAGGTGCCCACCTCTTAACAAAAACAGGGGAAATTATAATAATAATAATTTTTTAGTAGTTCAGTGCATCATATTGTTAGTACAACCCAGGTTGGGTGTTGGGGATTGGTGGGTGGAAGGTAGGGGATGCTCCTCCTTCTTGTGGTCTCTTGAGGATCCAGATTTATGGAGGTTCTGCTGTCTTGTAGCTCCACCATCCTGAACATGTAGCCTCCACGGTCTCTGAGGATGGGGCAGAGTGGGGAGGGGGAAGCATGGAGAAGCGAGGTGTGCCGCTTCTGTTTCTATTTCATGAATAAGACAAACGGCCCCATCCTCCTGCAAGGGAGACCGTCCCTGTGTTCAGGAAGGAAAGGAAAATTGGATGTGAGTGAGAAGTAGTGGTTACTCCCACAGCAAGTTTTACATTTTAGGGTATTTTTAAGTGTTTGTGTCTTTGGAGGCTGTGTCCACTATGCATCCTTCCAACTTCGAAGCTGACTCCCATTTGAATGATTGCAAATTGAATCAAATTCAAATACACCCTTAACCTAAGTCTACTATTAGGAAAAACAAACACACTCAACTTTGAATGTGAAAGAAAACTGTACCGGGAGCTTTTGTGAGTGTTCCAGCTTCATTTTCTTTGAAAGTTGTTCTTTGCGATACCATGTTTATTCAATTCCCGAAGCGTTGTCAAGTAAGTGGTATTTAATCCGTGAAAAATTTCAAGTGGCCCCCTTTTCTCTCTCAAGTGTTTCTTTCTTTCTTTTTTTTTCCAAGTGTTGCTGTAGTCATTGGAATGAACCGTTTGATTTAAAAAAAATTATTTATGGCATATCGAGTAGCACTTAGTGTTTTGTCACAACATTAAAGCCGTTTCTGAAGGCCCGTGTAAAATATGGCAGCAAGGTCGGGAGCCTGATGTACAGAACTTCTCCAAACATACCTCACCATTGGAGCTGGTTATAATTCCTGGGTGCTGACATGAAGATTAATAATGTTTAACTCCGATTTTGGCAATTTTTGCCAATTTCGTTGCCATGGTCCTTTTCTTTCAAGTTATTACCTGGAACTGAAGTGATAACAAATGTTTCGTGTTTTATACTGCCAGATAAAAGGTTAAATTTTCATATGTTATATGGTCTTAAGAGCACACGCGTGAGCGCACACACTCACACACTCACACACACATGCACACACAAATACACACATAATTGGATCAGAAGGAAATGAGTAATTCTCCTAAAATGAAAAGATTGTCCTACTTTTAACATTAGGTGACTAGTTCCCATGCAGTTGAGTCAGATGTAAAAATTGGAAACTGAACCTATGGGTCTTTATGCACTGACTATATCATACAGTTCTAAGTTTTTTTTTCTTTCTGGGAAATAATAGTGCTTTTTGCTTTGCCAAGTTTTATTATTGAGTCAACTGCCAAAGTTTAAGAGAGAGAGTCAAGGGCCCTTAAAATTATTTGGTGTTGAGTGAAGAGGCAAAGAAAAGTATTTCATATTCTCTAACATTTTAACTTTTATGTCTCTACCTGATGTTGGACTATAATCTAAACTTCAAGGCCTTTCTGATTCTTTTTGACCAATGTACACTGTTGAGTGAAGTCCAAATATTAGTGAGGGCGACTTTAATCCTACTCATTGATACCCTGTTTGAAACTACATATTCCAATTTTTAATAGACCCTATTCTTTCTTGCCTGATCTTCCCTGTATTTAAACTTCTGTGCATCAGAAGGCCCGTGCGCCTGCTTGCGGTTTTGCACCATCTGGAAGTTAAAATTTGACTTTAGAAATGATGTCATACTTGCTTACTGCAAAAGGGGCTAATGTTGGTTGAGAATTGGATGCAGTTCAGGTCAAAGTTTTGTCTTAAGAGAAAAAAAAAAGGCCCTTAAGCTTTGTTTCTTGATTGTAGGAGACTGTGCAAAGCTGTAAAGATAGAGTGAAGGAGATTGAAGGGCACGATTCAAATTCCTTTGAAGCTAAGTACATGCTTTCGGGCGCATGGAAAATAAACTCCTAAGCAGGAGACCTGAGCTGGCACAGAGTCCTCCTGCCATGTAGAATTTGGGTGTTCTGAGTAGTGTGTTGATCACGACCATCCCTGCTCTGTTTTATTCTTGGAGGAAAATTCTTACAGCCAGGGTTGTTTATTTTTATCTCTTCTGGGCTCAGGAAGAGGTAGGCCGTGCATGGTGAGAAGGCGCTAATCATGCTAGGTGTCTTCTTCATCAGCACAGAGTCTCTTTTCTAAGCCCCCGTCTGCACCACTCACTACCTCCCATATTGTAATTGATTTATATCACAGTTTGGGATATTAGGTATTTCCTTTAGTCCTGATAGAGACCACCCATCTTTGATAGCTGGAAGGCAGGGCTAATGGGACCACAGTTTCCTCTCAGATTCACACCGAGTCCTGGTCAGCCTGTGTTCAAGTCTCCGTAACTGAGCGTAAGTCCTTATGTATAACCACTGCCCTAATCTGCTCAGCATGCCCAGCCAATGTACAAGGAACCCACAAATGCCATTCTTTATGTATAAAAAATTTTTCTTTTCTACCTGATACGATGAAAATCCAAAGACAAGTATTGATTTTATTCCAGATTGGTAGGCGAAGATAACTTTAAACGAAGATAGGTCACTTGAGAATCTCTATGTTTAAACTTCAGTGCAACTGGAATCAATTTTCGTGGAAGATCCCCAGACACCAGCATCCCCTCCACCTTCCTGGCCCCTAGATCTCGGTGGTAATTATGTGGGAAGAGCAGATGTTTGAAGAGTCTGCAGTTCTTACCTCTGCAGTCACCGACACCCGTCCTCTCCACACTGCAGTCAGGGTCTCCACTGGACTTCAAGCTCTTAATGTCACCCTTTCCCTTGCGGGACCTCCCAGCTTCATCCTCCTCTCGGACAGAAACTGGGAAAACTCTACTCACTCACCTTCTTATCCCTTCTGACCTTTAGGAAGGTCACACTTGGGCACACCTTTCTTGGAAAGGTGTAAGAAATGGAGATTCTACCCCAATAATTGTTTTCTTTCTCATATCATCACCTTTTTCATGATGTATTGTACCTACGATTGATTCCTGTCTTTAAAATCCTAAAATATCAGGCACTCTGTTCCAACCTTTTGGTTTTACGAATGAAGAAACTGCGGCTAAAAGGCTGGATGGGGGAGTGAGTTGTTTGTCCCCATCCTCACAGTCAGATGGAGGCAGAACCAGCCTGACACCTCATGCTCTCTTTTCATTGTTCCAAGTTAGGCCTTTGACTCTGTCATAGTATTTATGTTGCTGCTTATTGTGGCTCATTATGGCATTCCTGCATCCCTTTTTTTTTTTTTTAACTTTTGTCTTTTTCCCCCTTTTCATCAACTTTTTCTTGCTCTTAGTGTAGTGAGCACACTTTGCTGAGACATGCAGCAGCCCCGCTTATCCCTGTCCCATCTCTTCTTCCCCAAGATAAACTTTTAATTTGTTTTGCCTGGTTATTTTGATAATATGACTAACAGGCTTCAGCACTATTTCCTGATTGTCGATGTAGTTACTATCTATCAAATTCCAGGTATGAGTGAGGATTAAAGTCTTCTTTCACTCCAGTTTTTTTTTTACATGTGGTCTACGGAAAAAAATAAAGCTTACATTTCTTCATTTTATTACTGACATTTGAAAAGCAGGGATTGTAATAATCCAATTTTTGAGGTAAGGTAGAAATAGGTATTTTGGGGATGCTTTGTCTCTTTTTCTCCTTATCCTTTGGAAAGTAGTCTTTCATAAAGCTTGCGAGTGGGTGTCATTTCCACATTTCCTCCCTCTAGCAGCATTTACTTCATCTTGGCAAAATGTTTTTTTAAAAAAATATATTTTTATTTATTTCAGGGAGAGAGAGAGAGAGAGAGAGAGAGAGAGAGAGAGAGAGAGAGAGAGAGATCAATGATGAGAGAGAATCACTGATTGATTGCCTCCTGCAAGCCCCATTCTGGGGATCCAGCCTGCAACCTGGGCATGTGCCCTGACCGGGAATCGAACCATGACCTCCTGGTTCATAGGTCAACACTCAACCACTGAGCCACACTGGCAGGGCTGTATTCTTCTAATTTTGGAGTGTTTTTCTCCATGTCAGTGTTCCTTCCAGGTGTCGGGCGTGGCTCACTGTGTTCTCCAGGTTCCTGGCAGATGCTGCTGCGTTGAGCGCTATACCCTCCCTGGCCATCACGGAGACACACTACTCTTTCATAGCATCTTCTTTCATAAAAAAGCCTACATTAAAAATGTATCCCTGTTCAGATACACAGGCAGCGGGACTTTAAGGTAGAGACAGACGGATGGACGCGTGCCATCAAGATGCCCATGAGCAGTGGTGTGACCATGCTGTGCTCAGAAGGCCTGCTGTGCCCCACCCCCTCCCGGGGCTTGACTGATGCCTCCTGATGACTCTGGCCTGAAACCACTACCTTCTTTCTTCTTCCTGGTTTCAGGTAGATGCACTGAGATTACGCCTGGAAGAGAAAGAATCTTTTCTCAATAAAAAAACAAAACAGCTGCAAGATCTCACGGAAGAGAAGGGGACGCTGGCCGGGGAGATCCGTGACATGAAGGATATGTTAGAAGTGAAGGAAAGGAAAATCAATGTTCTTCAGAAAAAGGTGAGTAGCTGGCAGCGCCCTTCAGGCTGGGGATGGGTAGCATCCATGCTCTGTAGTGGCAGAGACATTTCTGAGCATGCTGAAAAGCAGGGAGTATTCTTCGAGAAATCTAGATTAGGCACTACACACTTATAACTGACTGGTATTGCACTCACCCGTAGTTGTATCGTGTCATTTTTAGCAAGGCCGGTTGAGTTTTCTATTTGATTACCTGAAAACTAAATAGTGATGCTATTTTTTTTTTCATTTGCCAGCTTAACCATAGAGAGAATTGTACAAATTTAGATGTAAGTCTAATAAAAAGTTCAAAAAATTAGTCTTTCCTTTTTCCTTATGGAGAGTTGAGCAAAGTATTTTGTTGGTTTTAAAGATATTTTAGATGCGTTTTGTATATACAAAAACTTTAGTAGATTTTATCCTGCACACCCATACAGATTTTAGGAGGGGGTCAATGTTCACATCCATTACTTAATTAGAGAACGTAGGGAGTGTGTAGTGAGCCCCAACTACAGTGACGTAACACGGAAGATGCATGACTTGAGTCAGGCCCATCTTTCCTTCCTTCTTTCAGCAGCTCATTTTCTCCTTTGTGGGAGATCCAGATTTTGTGACAACATCTGATTTTCTTTTGGAGAATCCCATTTGCTACTGTATACAGTTTTTTGGGGGAACCATAGGAAAAGGGTAGGCAAGAAGAGAAAAACACCTGCTCTTATAAGAAAACGTAGTGTAAAGCAGGCAGCCAGCATGGGAACTGGGCAGGAACCAGTGGTGGGCACAAAGTTGGCTGGCAAGGACACTGCCATAGATAGGTCTGTGCCTGGTGACCTGTGCTGCAGCATCAGGTAAATCGAGTCTAACTGGCCTCTTCTTTGGTGTCATTTGCCACATCATCTTGCACCTTGTATATATCAACAGCATCCTAGCTGTTTTTCCTGCTTCTACCCTTTCCTTTCCTACAGCCTATTCTTTTTTTGTTTGTTAATCATCACCCGAGGATATTTTTTCCCATTGATTTTTAGAGAGAATGGAAGGAAGGGGGAGAGGCGCACACAGAGAGAAACATCGATGTGAGAGAGACACATCGATTGGTTGCCTCCTGCACGCACCTTGGCCCTGGATGAGCCTGCAGCTGAGGAACTTGTCCTTGCCCTTGACTGGAATTGAACCCAAGATGCTATAGTCCTAGGGCTGATGCTCTATCCACTGAGCCAAACCGTCTTAGTGCGGGGCCCTGTGCAACTGCACAAGTCGCAAGCCCATGAAGCTGTGCCCATCCACACTCTCAGGATATTGGTGATCAGATAGATCATATTATTAATTCATTTCTGGCAAGATCTTTAAAGACAAGGCCCCAGCCATTGGATTCCCCCTTTGAAGTTCCAGCTAATTGATACAGATAATTAGGAGACAGCCGGGAAGGGACCACCAAGACCTCTGAATCAAAGAAGCTGTCCAGGGCAGGCGGGACTAACAGAGAAACAGTTACGTGGAAGTTCTTGGAACATGTGCTGAGGATTGGAAAGAAGTCTTGTCATTTAAATACCAGGCAGAGAATGAGGACAAAACTGACCTTCATTGCACTGACTTTTGTTGAATGCTGTGTGCTGGATACACATGCACTGTTCACTTACTCTTTCATTTTTTTTTTCATTTTTTTTCTTCTCTTACTCTTGACCGGGACTCTGTGAAGCAAGTATAAGTTAATCATCCAAGAAACTGAGGGAAATTGAGGTTTATGGTAGGGTAACCCAAGGTCATACAATTTAGATACAAGATTTTTTCTCTGGGAAAATATGATAAAATGGTTATTACAAATTAAGGGAATAAGCCTCATTTCCTCTAGTTTTCTGACGATGACACCATGTGTGGGAATGAATTTAGGAAGAATATCCCAAGTGTTCGTTTTAGCAGGAGGTGAGACTAAGCACTCTCATTCTTGAGAAATAGAAAAAAAATCTCAGTAAACGTTTGGGAAAGGCACTTTTCATGCCTAAGGGACACATGTCCACTTTTGCCAATGTGTGTATATTTTGTAAAATTTTAAACTTTTCTCCACAGACAGACTCAAAGGTTTGGCAACGAGTTTGAAAGCCCTAAAACAAAAGCCCTTGGTTATACCATGGCTCCTTGGGCAACATGATCACAAGTCCACTTAAACCATGTAGATAATGAATTTGGAAATATTTCATGTATAATTGAAGAGGTTGTTCTGCTTCAAGTCTTTTTCACTGAGTGTTTCCCAGTACATTTGGGAAGGAACTAATACCACTGGCAACACAGTGAGTGGGTGGGAGTTCTATTATACCTGCGATGAGGAAGAGAGACAATTCCTACGGTGATGAACACAGTTCAGGACCCAACTCAAAATATGGAAATAATACAGAAGCTAATGGGCCATTGAAACATTGTCTTTGGGACTGAATACTCCTTAGTGTTTTGCCTAAATTTAAGCATAATTAGCTGGGTTAGGGCAGGCCTGGATTGGAACAGCATACGCTTTGGGTTAGGGTGGGTTGGCATAGAAGAATAACAAATGCATGTCAATGTCAGAGTTGGCGTATTACTTAATATTTCTTCCTCATAGACTCTTTGGCAGCGAGCACTGTGTTTTGCTGCCAGTAGAACTGAGTATGCTTCTTTCATAGCCATGTTTAACCTGGCGAGACTAGACTTGCACCTCGTATCTGTCAGCTTTGCCTTCAGAGCTCTGGGTCTCGGAAGTCTTGTGTGCTCCATAAGCCACTTTGATGGGTCACACGTTTAAGCAGCAGGCACGGACCTGATACTCTAATGGTTTTGCTACTTGAAGAAGGAAGTGAAGTTGAATAGGCACTGGCCCTATTCCCCGCACATGGCAGAATTTCTCTGATCAAGCTTTTGCAGGAAAATAGAAGTCATCAAGAATGGGTTTTTGGTCCTTCCACCATAGTTTTGGTTGTACTCCATAATCCAAGATGTGGAATTCTTTTTATGAGGGAATAGAAACATGCATGGATGAACATTGTTCAGTGGAATATCCCCCTGTGGCTGAGATAGTGAAGTCAGGGAGCAGCACCGCTTTCCTGCTGCATTCTGCTCCGATACCTGAATTCGAACTGTAGCTGATGAAGTGCTACCTGACTGTGGAGTCATTTTTGTAGGAAATGTCATAAAACCTTGACGACATTGTACATTTGGAAAGTGTATAATACACAAGTTTTAGGACATGGTAGTATTATTTGAACCAGATAAAATTTACGCAGCCCATAGATTCTTGCAGCATAAACCTACTGCCCAAGATCTTGTTTTTAAAAAGCCATTTAACTGGACAAAAAAAACAACCTATCTCCATTTTCATTCTAGGTCGCAGTTCCATAGCACTGTGAATTTGTAAAGCAGAGGCACTTTGTTTATTAGGGGTAGAAAAACAGATGGTGATTTCTCTGGAAGCCAAGTTCACTTGCTGTCTACTGGGCTTCACAGATTACCCTGAGGGTTAAAAAGGGCAAAGAGAGGTGAATGGGGTTGGCTCCTGGGAGTGATGCCCTGGACCTGACCACTCAGGAGCTTTACCCATTTGGAAGCGTGGTGGTAAAAGTGCTGAATGATGGTAAGTTCAGAGGCAAGGATGCTGCAGGAGTATGGTTATTAGAACACTGGGTTTCTTCATGAAGTTTATTTAAAAAAGCAATATCTTAGAAGATAACTACAGAGCGTAGAGATTTCCACATTAGTGTGAAATTGATGTAAGGCATGGAGGACCTTTTTTTTTTTTTCTTTCCAAATCAAGCTCTTTCTCGGTGTTTAACATCCACTGGAACTTTTGTATTTATTATTGGCAAGCCTAATTTTTTGAACATGTGCAAAATCAAATTCATTGTGCATTTGCTGAGTGTCAGTCAGTCACTTCTCTGGGCCCTGGGGGTTCAAAGAGAAATAACTTAAGACATTGACAGTCTGGTTGTGGCGATAGACAGGCATAATCCTAACTATAAGTGTGGAGAAAGCAATGTGGCATGCAAACAGCTTGATGGGTGCAAACAGCAGACACTAATGCTGGCTACCTTAAGCAAAAGGGAATTTTTTGCAAGAACATTCAGAACCCCAGTTTCTGGCTCATAGAACCAGATTAAAGCAATGATCAAAAACCAGGAAAGCTCTCTGAGACCAAGAAAAGGCAGACAATGCCATGATCTTATAACCAGGGGTGTCTGGTCGGTGTCTTCTCTGTTGACAGCTGCCCTCTTCCCCTCTTCACTCTACCCTTACGTCCTGCTGTTGGTCAAGATTGGAAGTCCTGACACAGAGTTCAAAATTTCACACATATGAAACCAGTCCCTTTCTAGAAGGAATCTGGGCAATGCGGTTCCAGGCTTCCCATCTGAGCTTTCCATTCAGTTCTTGTGTCACTTACTCAGGGAAGTCTTTGCTGACACTGCAGGCTTCACACTCCTCGAGAACTACTTCCTGGCTCAGTTGGAAATTATGCATTCCTCTAGTTAATGTTGGCTTTCCTCCCAGGCTAAGTTCCTTGAGTGCCCCAACTGTGATCATCAAGATACCTCCAGCTCCTTGCGAAATTCTTGGCAGGTGATGATCTTCAATCAGTTTGCATTGAGTGAATAAATTATATCAGCAAATTCTGAATGAATGAGAACTTGGAAGAAGGGAAATCACTTGGAGATCCACTCTTGGCCCAGGAATATTATTAGCTATGAGAAGAGCCATTTGCCCCAGTGAAATGTCAAATCAAACTCATTGTTCCCAGAACAGTATGTTCTGTGTAGGCTGCAGGAGGGAACCATCCAATGAATAATAAAACACAGATGACGGAATGGCTATTGCTCTACCCACATCTATACCTCCAGCCTCCGTTCCAGTACACTGGAAAGGTAAAAAGGGATGAAACCTTGAGTAAGGGAGCTTGGTCATTCTTCACTCAGTTTTCTTTTTAACAAAAGAAAATGTAGCATTTATTGAGAATACTGTTGTGTTCTGCAAAGAGAATGTTTTCTTAT